ATTAGAAATGAATGGGGCCAAGACCCACAGTGTCCCAATCTCAGAAGTTTCTAACGTGTGCGCTGTGTAACATCTCCAGTTACCACTGAAAAACACCAACACAGTTATAGTAACTACGAACTACCTAAGACGTACAGGCAAAGACAAGAAGACGTACCAGCCAGCCTGGCTCTGCAAATTATATCTGAGCCTTTTGTTTCCTCATCCCTGAGATGTGGCTTATAATCCCTGTTCATTGGGCAGCTGTGAGGGTGCATGAGTTAATGTGTGAAAAACGCTGGGCACGGTGCTGGGTGCACAGTTAAAATTCAGTAAAGTGGTAGGGTTATGTCAATATTATTGGTGAAGAAACAAAATAAATTATATTTGTACACATATTTATGCAAACCAAGAATAAAAACATTAATAATTTGAAAACAATCCATGGGGAAATGACAGACTTGTAGATAATTTAAAACACGCAGAGATAATTTAACATATTCAGAGGCTGCCATTTTATGGTGCTCCCTCTAAACTACATAATTCTGTTAACACTCGTAAACTTGATACAGAAGATCATGTGATAAGGTGCTTAAATAAAGTGATTATTGCAAGCTAGCTGTGGTCTTTCCTACATGGTGACTGCTGACGCTAATTACTTTATGTGTAACGTACGAATCACACAATTTCTGGCTGCAGCGCCAACCCAGATGCAGACCACTCTTGAGTGTGAGTAATGGAAAGAAGGTGGCAAAATCTCATCACTCCAGCAGGCAGGGCTGGAGAACAGGGCAAGAGGCACCTCACTGCCTCTTGTTCTTCGGGAAGGACAGTAGGACTGATAATGAAAAACCCCTGTGTACAAGGAGTCTCCAATTTCTGACCTCCTAAAACAGTAAAGCAGAACTTATGAGAGTAAAAGCAGAGTCCTACTCTGTCTGTGCTCACATTGTCCATACCTAACAGAGGGTCTGGAATTGAATAACTCTCATTGTTGAATGAATGAAGAAATCAGTGAAGCCTCAAAGTTGAGACTGTCTATGTGAAATAGCTGTGGGGGACCTGAGAGGCACAGGGGGTGCTGACCAACACAGGTATTCACTGCATTATCCCCTAAGTTCCCATTAATTGTTGAAATGTGAGGACCAAAATTTTAATTCAGCTCCAAGGAAGGATGTTGGAGCATTTCTCAGAGTCTGTTTACAAACATGGTTTGGAACTTCATAATAAGTGATATACAAATACCATGTGATGATCTGGACGGTGTTCATCACAGTTGTGCTACATAGTCTCTTTAGAATGAGGACACATTTAAGATAATGTCTGGTGTAATTTCACATTACATAATTATTGCAGGTGTAAGGAATAAGTGTTTACAGTATAGATAATAACAAAGATAACAGCTAAAAATTAGTTAGACCATATTAGCATTAAATCCAGACACTGGGGTAAGCAGCTTTCCATGCAGGACTCGTGAATCTCCATACAGGTATCTGAAATAGGTTACTATATTTACTTTACAGATGCAGAAACTGAGACTTAAGAGGTTTACAAACACTCCCAGGTCCACATAGATAACAAGAGTGACAAAACTAAGATTCATACGCAAAGTATCTGATGTTAGAGACTTAGAGATGAATCACTACGTTATTGTGAACAACAGGCTTCATCTACAGCTCTAAAGACCTAAATTTGAAATAGCTGATACTTGAATAATTGGGTATTATTATTTTTTTAAAGCTTCCCTTTTTTTACCCGTTGAAAACTGTCAAGCATAGGCAACTATTTCTAAAACTGGTTCTGATGTGATTAAAATTTAAGTCTTGAAGCTGTTGCCTATACTTATGCCTGGAATTAGGTATTCCTTTAAGTGTCTTCCTGATTATTATATCCATTTGGAAACAAAAACATTCCTAGAATTACCTGCTCCAAACTCCTTATTTGATAGAACAGTCTGGGTAAAAGGATTCTTGGTCAATGACTGAACTGAATACGACACAGCTGTGTATGAGGCTGTACCTGTCAAGAACCCAGCATCTAACCGGATCTCCATACAGACGTGGAATTATTTTTGAAAAATGAGTAAGTTGCAAAATCCCCTCCCAAGAAGAACAAGCATTATGCTCACTAAGGACTCCACAGAAGTTCTAAAGGTCAATTCAGACTGGTTCTGATCATCTCCTTCTGTTTTGATAAAAAATATGCTTCTGGAACCATAACAATGGAAGAGCTGGAGAAGGAGACGGCTTGATGATATATATATATATAAAAGCAGAAAAGCCTAGTGTTGCTTTTTTTTTTTTTTTTTTTTTCCGGTACGTGCCTCTCACTGTTGTGGCCTCTCCCGTTGCGGAGCACAGGCTCCGGACGCGCAGGCTCAGCGGCCATGGCTCACGGGTCCAGCCGCTTTGTGGCGTGTGGGATCTTCCCGGACCGGGGCACGAACCCGCGCCCCCTGCATCGGCAGGCGGACTCTCAACCACTGCGCCACCAGGGAAGCCCTCCTAGTCTTTCTTTTTAATCTAAAGGGCTATGAAGTTCTCTGGACTTGACAGATATGGGTCCTGGCTTCCTATCTTTGCAGATGACAAATGTGTCCTAGTGGGCTGATCTGGCTCCTCAAGCAGCTCCAGTCTTACCCTCTCTTATTCTTAATTTTAAAAACATGGTAAGGTGAGGCATGTCATCTGCTGGGTCTGCTTGAGGAAGTGGAATTTTATACCTGTCACTGTAATGACTATTAACTTTCCAGCTGATCAGCAATAGTTAGCTGTGAGAAGACTGTTCTCCCCACTAAATGCTCCAGTAACCAGGAGTCTGCTATAAATAGGCAGCTTCCAAGGATTACAATTCTTTGAGTCCCAGAAAATCTGGATAAGAAGAGAATTTCTAGGTAGCAAACAAGCAGGCACGGTGTGTGTGTACTTACTGTACATTCCTAAGGCCCTCTTTCAAGAGCCATTTCCCCAATTACTGGGAATATTGGCTGCTGGCTGTCGAAACTTACAGCTGACCTCTCTCTCGGAATCACCCTTGGGAACTACCCTCCACCAAGGGGAGCTGCATCACCCCAAGATTACTTAGCCCCTCCCCAAGGGCAGCTCAAATCCAATGTCTGCAAAACAAAGGCGAGGCCTCCTTGGCGACAAACTCCAAAGGGCCATCCCAGCCCCAGAGCTCCCATAGGATCACCTTCCTCTTCTGCCAGTCCAGCCTTCCCCACTCCCTTAGACAGAAGAGAGCACTCTCTTGAATCATCTCCCAAGATCACAAAAGCATTCAAGTCCAAATCCACTTGACTCTCAGCCCTAAGTTTCCATCAACTTTATGAAGCCCTTGACTTTGACATACAAAACACAAATCCTTACAGCTTCGCAAGACATGCAAAGTCCCTTTTGATATGACAGTCCTTTCTAGCCTCATACCCCATCACTCACTCTCATACAACCCCTGGTCCAGTCACACCAAACTCTTTCCTTTCCCTGAATGTGTCACGCTTCTGCTTTCTACCTGGAATAGTTCATTGTTCTCATCTGCTTGATGACCACCTCCATCTCCTACAGGTCTCACTTCAGGTGTTCCCTCCTCTATGAAGGATATCCTGGCCCCTCAGTAGGGTTAAGATTTCCAGCCTTCAAGTTTCTACCACAGGTTGTGTGTTCCCTTATTGTGGTGACTGTTAATTATTGTAATGGATTCTTTGTAGGCAGGGAACGTGTCTTTTAACTCTGCTTCCCGGCCTGGCATTTTAAAGATGTTTTGCTGGATGCATAAATAAACGAAGTCAATTGAGGTGCTGGCCCCAGAGGCCCTGGCTGAAAGGTTGCCAGCATCCCCATGACTGGGAAGCATCATATAGCGTCATACAAATTTGGATTAACTGTGACCTCCTTGCGCACGGGCACTAGTTTTTCTTCATCGAAGTAACCTTTCCAAGACCGGACACCATCTCTCACTCATAGAGGACAAGACACAAAAAGCCCATTGAACCAAATGAGGTCTTGGCAGAAAGGGCTGACGTACGAGAAAATTACTTTCCTGGCTCAGTCTAAACTATTTTTTAAAAATCTCTATGTTTTAAGATACATAGGATATTTCTCTACGTGGTCTCTTCTTAATATGTTCTTATTTACAAATTTTTAAAATTTCTCCTTTGTTTGAAACTTTTTTTTTTTTCCTATTTAAGAGAGCAAAAGAAAACTTTGAGTTTGCTAAATTCCATTTCTAGGTCAGAAATCAAATATAATGGGACACATCAAACATGACTAAGAAGTTTCCCAGATGGCCTGCATGACCTTAAAACTTTGTTTGAAGGGGTCCCTTTGAAACATAAATGTCTTTAATCTACAAGGTGGTTTTTCCCCCCACTTTCTGAAACTAATAATTACTTACTGAATAGATGTACAGCTATTGGTATAGGCACCAAACACCCTGAGTATGAAGCTGAGGAGATGGTGGAGAACCCTTGTCCTATAAACATAAAAACCAAAAGCCAGTCTTATTGAGCAAGTAGCTGCATTCCCTAC